AACCTGACATCTATTTCCACGTCATAATTCATAAAAAATCGAAGTGGAAAATTTATTTTACGACGGTTGTGGGAAATGTTGTGACGTAGTAGGTGTCAATAACGTCGTCTATTATGATTGTAAAGACGTCGTATTTATATTTGTCATCTGTTTCCTTTTTAACGACGTGTTTTTTGTTGGAGTTGGTCGTCTATTCTCATCCTCGACTGTTTTTTATGTCTTTTTGCAGCACAAAGACGTCGGTTTTTATTTTGTGATGACGTTTTTTGTTTTAACAACGACGGTTATTCACCGTCGTGGTTTTGTTATGGAAAAGATGTCGGTGGATTCCACGACGATTTGAAAACAGAATACACGACGGTGAATTCCCGTCGTGGTTTTCCTTTTTTGTAGTAGTGATTGTAGTAATTAAATGGAACAATCAAATAATTTTTGCAACTACTCATTACCGTATGATGGATGTTGTGTGTTTTATGCAATGGTATTTTGTAAGATGAGTCGGAGAAACTTGAGTAGAGGGAGCGGGATGCAGGCCGGAAGATGATGAATAAACAACCATGAAGGAGCAAGAAATGTTGCAGAGGTACAAAGTCCATTGTTGAATGTTTTGGTTTGGATGCAAATAGGTGGGGAAGCTAGAAGTAATAGGACTAACAAAAATATTGAAAATTGGTTTGTTGGCTGACTTTGGTGCCATTTTGTATTTATTGGGTGAAGAATATTGAAGAAAATATTTTGATGTGCTGGTGTAATTAAATTCACAATGGCATGCTCTGGATTTTGATGCTTTTTTTTCATGTTCTGATTGTACTAGAGTAATGAATGAATGTGCTATTGTGAAATTTCTTTGACCTAATGATATTTGTACCTAGGCAATGCATTAGTTACGGATGTATTTGGAATTGATGTACGCGTATTGGGTGCTAGGAATGGGGTGAAAGAGTCTTCAAAATTTGATGAGGTAAATGCACTGATGGTTTCATAAATAGAAGCATCTCTTTTTAACTTCATTTCTTATAAGATAGACAAGAGTGAAAAGACAAGAAAAACAAATGTCAATATACCATCCTAGTTCCTTTGATTTATTTTATCAATGGCAAGTGCATATTAAATTAGTTACGATAGAAAGAAGCATACATGTAGTGTTATTGTTTTCTTTTTCTTTTTTCTTTGTTTTGACAATCTCAACGGTGCGAGAGAAATTTATTGAAGAAATAAAAGAGTAACGCCTAGAAGGAACAAAAAGACCCAAAGCCCCTCGTGAGAGACCTCAAAACACAAAGTGAGGAAAGCACACTAATACAAAACACGCCAAACCAAATAAAAAACTAGCAAAAGCAACAATTTAAAAGCTAACACAAGTTTCAAAAGTAAGCTTCAACAGCAACGGTCGGACGAGTAGCCTACCAGAACACACATGCACATTTTTATTTTCTCTTCGTATCATAATCTCCCTTGCCAACGAGCTACTTTCAATGCAATTATTAAGGCTACTTTCTCTTTCACGTTGTCAAAGAATTTAAAATATGCATACCTCCATGACTTCTTTAGGACCAACGTTCCACAAACAGCCCAAAAGCCTACAATGAAACCAAGTGCCATGCTGACGTGAAACCAAAACCCTTCGTTGTCATCTTTACTGTGATCTTCTGAAGTAAAAGTCTGTCTTGAACGTGCATCATCTCCAGGGCATACAGTTAAAAGAGGAGGCCCACACAATAACAGATTGTGTTCATAAATAGATGGATCATTGAGGGTTTCGAATTGGTTGCCAGAAGGTATTTTTCCAGTCAAGTTGTTGTAGGACAAATTCAAGTGAGATAGGGAGGTCAAAGAAGAGAAGTTTTGAGGGATATGTCCTGAAAGGTGGTTGTGTGAGAGATCAAGAGTTTCAAGCCAACGTAATTTTCCGATGCTTGAAGGAATCTCTCCAGTTAATCGATTCATCGACAAGTTCAACATACTCAAATTAACCATACTGCCTACTTGTTCAGGGATTTCACCTTCAAAATTGTTTGACGAAAGATCAATCATGTCTACCCAGGCGGTTAACTGGTAATCCTCATATTCGAGCTGAATCCCTTTTGACATTATTGTTGTTTTTTCATCATATGATTCAAACGACGTTTCAGTATGGCATCCATCACTAACTTCAACTAGACAAGCCATACTTTTCAGACACTTGGAAATGGTCCCTGAAAAGTTGTTGTGGGAAAGATCTAGGACGTGAAGGGATGGAAGATTGCAGAAATGGGGGGGGATATGCCCGCTCAAAAGGTTGGATTGCAATTGTAACACTTGCAATTGAGGTACGTCTGATCGAATCCATAAAGGTAGGTTTCCAGTGAATTTGTTGCCTCCAAGATTAAGTAAAACCAAAGAAGTGCAATTTTGAAAGAAAAGAGGAATCTCACCACTAAAATTATTATTATTCGCCTTAAATACCATGAGAGAACTTGGGATAGCCATTGAATTCGGAATACTACCAGAAAGATTGTTGTGGGAGACATCAATAAGTTGTATGACGCTCCACAAACTCCACCGTTGAGGGAACTCTCCAAGTAGTTGATTGTTTCTTAGCGAAATTCTTGACATTTCCTGCATGTTGCAAATAGAGAGTGGAATAGTACCACTCAAATTATTCTCAGAAACATCCAAATCACGCAATCGGGGCATCAATTGGTCTAAATTGGAGGGAATTGGCCCGGAAAATAAATTGCTTTGAAGATCAAGGGTGTCGACTTTAGTGGGCCAAAGTGGAAGTGGGCCTTCCAATTGATTATGACCCAATCTGATACTCCATAGCTTTGGAAACTTCAATTGTAATGGAAGCCTTCCACTGAAGTTGTTGTAAGATAAATCCAAATATTCGACTTGGGAAGATATCTTCGACAACCATTCCTCTATGGAACCCGAGATGAAAGTACTACAAAGGCTGACATCGACTAGTTCAGTCTGAGATTGAATCAATTCCCAAAGACCATGACCTACTCTGCAGCCTCCAATGTTAAGTCTGTGGAGCTTGAAAGGAGGAACCCAATCATAAGCCACGTCTAACAGGAGAGACATGGGCATCTCTCTATAAGAATTAAATATTGAAATATATTTTAAACTGGTGAGATTTATGAAATGGGCTTCCGTTAGAATGCCTTCCCATGAATTATTAGATAGATCCAGTTCAACTAGCTGAGAGAGTTTTCCCAAACTTTTTGGAATGGAGCTCTTCAAATTGCTACTATAGAGGTCCAGTGTTTTCAAGGATGACAAGTTTCCAATAGATTCAGGAATTGAACCCCAAAGAAAGAGACTCGAAAGGTCTAGATGCTGCAAACTTGTTAACATTCCTAAGGAGGCCGGCAGTTGGCCTTCGAGCCCACAATCAGAAAAATCTAGTGATTCTAATGCGATTGTATTATTTGGACAATTTGACAAACTCCTCCAAAACTCTTCAATTTTCTCACCAGTAAAATCGTTCCTACTAAGACTTAAAAACTTTAGCTTGCACATATTTCCAATGACTCTGGGAATTCGACCTTTGAGGCCAAACTCAGTTAAATCTAGGTATTCCAGAGATTTGAGGTTTGCAAGTTCACCGGGAAAAGGACCACCCAAAGAATTCCCACTTAGATCAAGTTTTCTGAGGCTGGTAAGATTGAAAAGCCAGCTGGGAAATGAAGAAGTATTGAAGTAATTATATGACACATCAAGGACTGAAAGTGAGGTGAAGTTAATCTTCTGCAGTGATAGTGGAAGGCTTTCAATGAAGCAATTAGATAAGTGTAACTCCAGTAAGGAAGGAAGCATGTTAACATGATGCAGCCAATTTGGAACTCCTGTGCTGTGAAGAAACACTCTGTTGAGATTGAGGTGTTTTAGGGAAGAGAGATGAGAAAGCCAGTTCAAGTTTTTGGAATGTATTTCGAATAAGCACGAAGTGCAGTGAAGATCAAGATAGTTCAATTTTGATAAGTTACCGAGAGAATGCGGAATCTCTCCCGAAAATGATGCCTCGGAAATATTGAGATACCTTAGACTTTGAAGCTCCCCAAAGAACTCAGGGATGTGAATCCCATCAAAATCATTGTAGCTTAGATCCAGATAATTTAAATATTTCAAGCTAAGCAAAGAAGGATTTATCTGACCTCCCAAGGAAGACTGGTTATAAGCCAACTCGTCCCACTCATCATCCCCCCCAAAATATGGATATGGATTCCGGAGTTCCACCTTCGCCACATGACCGGTGCGGTTGGTGCATGAAATCCCTTGCCATTGACAGCAATCGTAACCCACCCAAGAAGAAAGCCTTCCAGAGGGATCCTTGAGATCCTGCTTAAAACTGAGAAGCGCACTTCTCTCTTCCTCGATGCATGATCTCCCACTACTAGTGCTTGGAACTCCATCAACCAAACAGAAACAGAAGTGACTGCTAGTGTGCAGATATGAAGATGCCAAAAACAAAAGGAGCAAAAAGTGAGAAATATAGGGAGGGTTGAATAAGTTTGAATACAAAGTACCCATTATGCAAATAAAGTTTCTCTCAATTTGTTTGTTGCAGACGGCTACTCAATGAGTGAACTCATTTATAGGAGGCAAGGCAAGGAGCGTGTAAAAATTTATCTGAAGGTCTTCTACAAGGTTGCAAGTCAATGGTTATTTTACTAGAGAACATTAACCAACGCATTCTACAAGTTTGCAAGCATTTTTTCGTATCACTTTAACCCATCACTATCATTATCATCTTTGCTGTTAGACCTGCAAAGAACGGGAAAGAAGGGCAAGACTTCTCCATCACGTGGTGGAAGACCTTGACCTCATTGTCACCGATTTGCTTTTTGACTTGCCTTTTTGATAACTGGCCAAAACCCTAGTGTACGTTCATTGCATTATCTTTAAGGACGCGTTTGGTATTTATGAGTTGTCGATGCTAATTTCCAGATTTTTTTCCCAATGTGTTTCACCCAGCAATTGCAAAGAACGTTAATCGATGACGTTCTTATTCATTGTCTCTATCCACGACGTTCTTATTCATTGTCTGATCCTTGTGCATTTCCAATTCTTGAAAATTCCAAATCGCTAGAATGGTATCCACTTTGGAAGCCCACAAGTCTTGCAATATGTTTTTGTTTGTGTTATTGGTCCAATCAAACCTAAACCAGCTTTGGAAGCCCACAAGTTGAGAGCTCATTGCATGGATCTTCTCCTTCTCATTTGGTTCATCATTTTATCTCACATTTATATATATATATATATATATATATATCTCTCTCTCTCTCTCTGTGAGAAGACGTTTAAACCTCTTTAAAATCTACCTCTCATTATTATAGTGAAGGGGAACTAGCATATATCATTCCTTAACTTTGTCATGGGGAATGCTAGCTAGCATGTGACAATAAAAGTATTTTGGACAACCAAATTAGCATTATCTCTCTCTCTCTCACATCATCCCTTCTTAACTTGATTGTGTCTCAACTAGTCCAATTTAGTGGTACTTCTATTTCAAACGTCGAAAGAAATCTCAAATTTGAATCCCCAAATCCTCTATTAATAAAATAGAAGAAAATCGTGCCTTTTGATATGCTAGGAAAAGTCAACTTATATATCAACAAGCAATATGTTTAAGCAAAATGTGAATGGGATGGAAAGGAAATTAGGTAGTGAAAGACTCATCAAAATTTGATGAGGCAACCGAAAGTTCATGTTTGAGGTCAACCCAAAAAAAAAAAGTGTTTGATAGGGTTACTCTCTTGTACTATTGGGCTTTCTCCATGGATTCACAAGTTTTTAGCTTCATCTTGGAGAGCTGGAGGGCATCCGATACACTGATGGAAACTAAAAGGATCAGATACCCTTTGTAGGTTGGTTTTGTCTATTCTGATTTTTAAGTAGCACATAGAATTAAAAGCATAATTAATTCTTAATTATGCACATAATGGAACTTTTCTGTATTACTCCAGTAATCAGTGCCAGAATTTGGAATTTAGTTATGTGGTTGTTAGATTGAATAATAATGTATGGCCCTTGCTTGCTCTTGTACTTGACGACCACCAAGAACACATTTGGCCTCTTTCTCTGTCTCTAGAGGTCATCTGTTCTGTTTCTATGTTGACTCACCAATAATTGTCTTTGTCTTTGTGAGCAATGAGCATCACAAGGATCACTTTTTAAAAAAAACTCTGTGTATGAGCAATGAGCATGGAAATTGCAAAGAACGTTAATCGATGACGTTCTTATTCATTGTCTCTATCCACGACGTTCTTATTCATTGTCTGATCCTTGTGCATTTCCAATTCTTGAAAATTCCAAATCGCTAGAATGGTATCCACTTTGGAAGCCCACAAGTCTTGCAATATGTTTTTGTTTGTGTTATTGGTCCAATCAAACCTAAACCAGCTTTGGAAGCCCACAAGTTGAGAGCTCATTGCATGGATCTTCTCCTTCTCATTTGGTTCATCATTTTATCTCACATTTATATATATATATATATATATATATATCTCTCTCTCTCTCTCTGTGAGAAGACGTTTAAACCTCTTTAAAATCTACCTCTCATTATTATAGTGAAGGGGAACTAGCATATATCATTCCTTAACTTTGTCATGGGGAATGCTAGCTAGCATGTGACAATAAAAGTATTTTGGACAACCAAATTAGCATTATCTCTCTCTCTCTCACATCATCCCTTCTTAACTTGATTGTGTCTCAACTAGTCCAATTTAGTGGTACTTCTATTTCAAACGTCGAAAGAAATCTCAAATTTGAATCCCCAAATCCTCTATTAATAAAATAGAAGAAAATCGTGCCTTTTGATATGCTAGGAAAAGTCAACTTATATATCAACAAGCAATATGTTTAAGCAAAATGTGAATGGGATGGAAAGGAAATTAGGTAGTGAAAGACTCATCAAAATTTGATGAGGCAACCGAAAGTTCATGTTTGAGGTCAACCCAAAAAAAAAAAGTGTTTGATAGGGTTACTCTCTTGTACTATTGGGCTTTCTCCATGGATTCACAAGTTTTTAGCTTCATCTTGGAGAGCTGGAGGGCATCCGATACACTGATGGAAACTAAAAGGATCAGATACCCTTTGTAGGTTGGTTTTGTCTATTCTGATTTTTAAGTAGCACATAGAATTAAAAGCATAATTAATTCTTAATTATGCACATAATGGAACTTTTCTGTATTACTCCAGTAATCAGTGCCAGAATTTGGAATTTAGTTATGTGGTTGTTAGATTGAATAATAATGTATGGCCCTTGCTTGCTCTTGTACTTGACGACCACCAAGAACACATTTGGCCTCTTTCTCTGTCTCTAGAGGTCATCTGTTCTGTTTCTATGTTGACTCACCAATAATTGTCTTTGTCTTTGTGAGCAATGAGCATCACAAGGATCACTTTTTAAAAAAAACTCTGTGTATGAGCAATGAGCATGGAAATATTCCCACCATAGTTTCATTATTTCTTTCTTATGTTTTCTTTCTTTCTTTCTTCTTTCCATGATATACAATGATCAAGTTCGGATATGATTCAAACAGTTCCTTGATCACCATCCTCTTTTTCATTCTTCTTCTTCCAATTTTAGCATCTTCAGCCTGCACATGTGAAAAGCAACGCAATGATCAAAACAAATCCAAGGAAGTGCTCCGATATAAACTAGTTGCAATAGTTTCAGTTCTAGTTTCTGGTGCTCTAGGAGTTTGCCTTCCGTTTCTGGTGAAGAACATATCATCGATTCTCCACCCAGATAAGGACTTTTATCTCCTAATCAAGGCCTTTGCAGCTGGGGTGATCTTAGCAACAGGATTTGTTCATGTGCTTCCTGATGCTCATGAAAGTTTGACAAGCCCCTGCCTCAGTAAAAATCCATGGGGAAGGTTTCCCTTTACAGGTTTTGTTGCTATGGTATCAGCCATTGGTACACTGATGATGGAAGCTATTGCTACTGGATACCATAAGAGGTCTGAGCTCAGGAAATCTCAGCCAGTTGATGGTGATGAAGAGAGTGATCATGGGGCACATCATGCTGGTCATGTCCATGGTTCTGCATTGGTGTTAGAACCATCAAATTCGTCAGAGCTTATCCGCCATCGTATCATATCTCAGGTAATTTCAAGTAAATTGTCTTTGAAAAAAACATCTGAAAATTTCCTATACACATACGAACTTGATTAATTGATTGAAATAATGCAATACAATTTACAAAACTGCAGGTTTTGGAGTTAGGAATTGTGGTTCATTCAGTGATCATTGGGATCTCCCTTGGTGCTTGTCAAAGCCCTCACACAATCAAGCCCTTGGTGGCAGCATTGAGTTTCCATCAATTCTTTGAGGGCATGGGGCTTGGTGGATGCATCTATCAGGTACTCTCAGTTCTTAACAAGCAAATTTGTTTGTCAACCAAATAATAAGAAGCAAAGAATTATGCTCCTAAAAAAAACTAAACTCCTACAAGTTAGTCCAAATCAATCGAAGTGCATTATTGTTTTTCTTCACAATAATATAGTAAATTGATTTGACACATTTTAACTTATTGATCCTTTTTCCTTTATTATACTATCATGTAGTCACTTCTTTCTTTATTTCCTTTTTTTCTGTAATAATTTTTTTCAAGTTGAAAATGAAAAATAATTTGGCAAAATGTGTAACTAATTTAAGGCTGTTTCTGATAGTAATTAATTAAGCTAGGTCATTTATGATTTGTGCAGGCAAAGTTCAAGCATAAAACCATGGCAACAATGGTGCTGTTTTTTTCCCTTACCACCCCAGCTGGGATAGCTGTTGGCATTGCAATATCAAACACCTACACTAAGAGCAGCCCAACTGCACTGATTGTCCAAGGGCTTCTCTTATCAGCATCTGCTGGGATTCTCATTTACATGGCGCTTGTTGATCTTCTTGCAGCTGATTTCATAAACAATGCCAAAATGCTAGGAAACCCCAAGCTCCAACTTGGTGCTAATTTTACTCTTCTTTTAGGAGCATGTTTTATGTCTCTCATGGCCAAGTGGGGAGAATCCTAATTAAATTCCAGTTCGCTAAAGTTCTATATATATAGCGACATGATTTAAATCAGCCCAATCAATGCATGGGGGTCCATGTTCTTTTTGGCTTGAAGCGGGGGTCCATGTTCAACTGCAAACAATATGCAGACATATGTTTGTAAAGAAAAAAAAATTGAATCCATTTTTCAGAATGGTTTTTGAACTTTCCAAGTGCACCAAAAATCAAAAATCAATGACAAGATTTTAAATAGCATGGCATTAGACTTATTGTAGGGCTTTGCTTGAATTGAATCAATTACAAGATAATAAATTATCTTCAACTGCATAAAAATTTACTTGCAATGAGATAGTATTGTTTTTGCTAATCTTAACTAATAACACAATCACACGTGAAAAAATTATTTTATGCGTCATTGCATTATTAGTCGAATAGCAAAACATGTTGTCCGCATATGGAAGTCTTTCTCCTTCATTTGGGACCGACCAAAGTGGGGGAATCTCCTTTTGTTTATGAGCTTATTTTTACTCATTATTCATACAATATGTTCTAAAATCTTTAGGTTGATATTCGTGGCAGTAGAGTGTGTTATGAAACTGGTCCAAAAACTAAAATTCCAGTTGTGAAATATATTCCTGGAGGAATAATATGTTGTAATCTGCAGGACCACCAACCAACCATTATTGGAATTATGTTCTGAACCAATTAAATTACGACTTTCATATTACTGTTTCTTTTTTTGATTGAAATTACTGTATTTTCATTTTAGGCTGAAAAAGGAGGTGGGAAAGGGGCAGGGACAAAATGGAAGCATATATGCATTGGATGGCAACAGGGTAGCGTCAAGTTTGTCATCCTATCTCTGTCTTTGCCTCTAAATGGGATGGGTAGAGACTTGATAGAATTTCTTTCTTTTTTCTCTTTTCGAAAAGATAGATGTGGCCATAAATACATAGAATAGCAAATATCATACGTTAAGACACACAATGTGAACAATACAAAACCCATACAATAACACTACAAGATCAAAAAATAACCATAAATCGAATAGGTAAACCGAGGCAGGGACAATTCCAATATGGGTAATCGTATTTGTCCGTCCGTCAATCCGTCCATCTTCGCCCTTAATCTAACCCATTAAGGCCGGGACTATGTGAGACCTCAAAATACATTGCAAATCCTATTTAGTTTTAAAATGATTAAGACATGAAATCAGAAAAAGAAGATGTACATTTATAAGTTGATTTTGTTGCATGAAAGGCAAAACACTTATTTATATAAAAGTTATTGGCCATAGTGACTATCCTTCTTAAGTTTATCATAAATGGGTACAGACAAAAACACTAGTTTTCCACTTTCAGAATCGTCAGTCTAAGTTGTTTTGGTCACAAAGTCAAATGAAGTGAAAAAGGTACAAAATCAAAATTCCAGTTCTAGGGTTTTATGGCTTTCTCAATTTCATGACAATTGAGGCTAGGCAGAGTGTGTATTGTTTTGTTGCATGGGAAAAATTCTTGTTCTGATACCAAATAGCTCTGTAATATGCAATTTAATTATATGGCAAGTTTTGTTCAAAATGCACACTTGTCATTCGTCAACCCCACACTTCAATTCCATGTCGTCATTTTTACTCTAGCCCTTGCTTTTTCCAAATTCTCCCAACTCATATGATCGTATCTATACATATATAAATACAGAGTCTATGGAATAGGCTTAAACAAGCCACAGCCATAGCAGGACACTCTATACCACTCCTTTATCATTTGCAATCTTCTTCTTCTTCTTCATGTCCCTTCAATCTCTTGCTTTCTGCAGAATGCACATGCAGTTTCGATGCCACGGATCGTAACGAAGCCAAAGCTCTCAAATGCAAGCTAGTTGCAACAAGTTCAGTCTTTATGTGACTGGTGCCCTTTATAAGCATTGAACTTATTGCAACTAGCTTTCATTTTTGAGCTTTATAATGTCACCATATATAATCTGTTTGACTTAACAAAGTAAAATGAAGAAAGACGAAAGAATGTAACAGCATTACGCATGTAGTTAGATCTTTGGTCCTTGACCTTCCATGAAGTATATGCATAACATAAAGTTGTCAGGTCACAATGGGTGGAGCTTCTACGACATTGAATAAGTCTAAGTTTTCTTCATCTCTCTTTCTAGTCTAAAGTAACCAGCATATAGCATAAAGAATAATAAGTGAAAGAAAGAAAAAATTATAAGTTTTGGGGAAAAAAGTTGAAGGAAGTCTAATTTGTTATTTTCCAAAAAAAAAAAAAAAACATAATCCGATCCCTCCAATGGCCTTGTGTTCTAGGCCTTTTGGCTAGATACCCATCTTAGCTTTTCTCAATTTAATAACAATTTAGTTTACCTATTGCGCAACTTGTCTCGGATGGGAGTTGTTTAGTTTGCTTGTAATTAACACAGAACTTGTTCTTTTTGATTTTATATGCTATACTTTTGTGTATGGTATTTGATACAAGCCATAAAGCTTTGTTGTATGGTAGCAGATTTTGAAATGCCATCGGCACTGGCATGCACTCATATTTTTCCTGGTTGGTGTTATAATCAATATCTCTATAATGCAGATCGTCCAAGCAATATCAGTATTATTGTTACCAATGTTAGAAAATCACCGGACCTGGACAGAAGTATGGGTAGAAACGAAATGTTACCAACATGGCGCATGCAGTTATGCAATGCATTGACCGGCGTGTGGATGTGCATCAATTAGCATTTGATGCACATGAATTACATAATGCATCAACAGCTGATAGTCACTCATGCATGCGTGGACGATTGTCGCTAATATAACTCTTAAATACAATCTCACTCTTGATTTCAAACACAGAACCTCCTAGAACCAAATTCCTCTACCATATTAAACAATTACTGAATAAAAAATCAAATAAAAAATCAAATGTTAGATAAATAAACTAACAAATCAGTTAAATGATCTACCACGTTCAAATCCTTTTGAGTGCTTGATGGTGCTCCACACGGCAAGTCAAATTCCTTCCCTAGCTGAACAGAATTCATGCTCATGCATTGGCTAATAACCACGATGGGATACTAATTTAATCTTTCAAGTGCCCCTTTTGCTTTTTTCCTGTTTTTGCTTTTCTTTGCCAACAACAAGAAAATTTCTTAGTCATGGATCATTATCAACATGGTTCGGAAAGAGACTTGAAAACCTAATTAAAGTCCTAACCTCCTTTAAGCTGTTCATTAACACATAATGTCGTCATTTGGCTCCATTAACCAGACACTTGGCAACCCCACACTTTCCTTTCTTACAAATAGAATTGAATTCCATGTCGCCATTTTCACCTCAACCCCTTTGCTTTTCCTGAACTCTCCAACTCATATATACAGTAAGCAATAGGCTCACTCCACATCCCACATCAAATTTCGAAGCCCTCCTGTACTCTCTCTCTCTCTCTCTCTCTCTCTCTCTCTCTCACTGAAAGCCATGAGAAAGCTCACTCCACCTCACACTCTTCTTCTTCTTCTTCTTCTTCTGTTTGTCCCCATTTTGGTTTCTGCAGAATGCACATGTAGCAAAGAAACCCAACACCATGACAAGGTCAAGGTTCTCAAGTTCAAGCTAGTTGCAATAAGTTCAATCCTCATAGCCAGTGTGCTTGGTGTCTCTCTGCCAATGTTGGGCAAGAAAATCCCAACTCTGCGCCCCGAAAACGATATCTTCTTCCTGATCAAAGCCTTTGCTGCTGGCGTGATTCTAGCAACAGGGTTCATCCATGTCTTGCCTGAGGCATTTGAGAGCTTGACAAGCCCCTGCCTCAGCCAAACACCATGGGGGAATTTCCCATTTTCCGGCTTCATTGCAATGCTTTCGGCTATTGGGACGATGATGATCGATACCTTTGCCACTAGTTATTACAGAAGGTCACATTTCACTAAAGCACTGCCAGTGAAAGAGGATGAGGAGATGCATGGGGTGCATGAGGGTCATGTGCATGTTCATACTCATGCCACACATGGTCATGCCCATGGATCCGGCGCGATTTTACCTGAGGATTCAGCTTCATCTTTGGAGCTTATTAGGCATCAAGTGATATCACAGGTAGAGTTGGCTTGTATTCTTAGTTGTTTATGGTTCAATATTTTTTGGTGATAGAGTTTGTATTCTCCCCTGTTTCCTCTGTTTTTTGCTCTGCCATTCCTATGAACTACCTCCTATACTTTGTATTTACAATTACAAGCATACAGGTATTTGAAATTATTCCCAGAAGGAAGAAGCTTCAGTGAGTGCTGAATTGAAACATTTTCTTATCTGATTGATCAAAAAACTCTTTTGTTCAATTGGTTACAAACTATGGTGGTCCTGCATTCATTTGTTTGTTTTATTTTTACAATTTTATTTTTTCTTTTTGTGTGTTAATTTCATTTTCCTGTTCTTTTTGCTGCTCTAGTTTTCTGATGTAATGATGTAGATTCCTTGTATAAATGTTTTACAGGTTCTGGAGCTTGGGATTGTGGTTCATTCAGTCATCATTGGGATATCTTTAGGTGCCTCTCAGAGTCCCAGAACAATCAAACCTCTGGTAGCAGCTTTGACTTTCCATCAATTTTTTGAAGGCATGGGCCTTGGTGGCTGCATCTCTCAGGTATCTTCAATTTCCTCCAAGATTTTTCCTTTTCTCCATTGTCTCATTTAGTCACCCCATAAGTACAAAATAAATATAAAGCAAACTCTGCTAACTTTCTTGGTTATAAGAAAATGTACAAATAAAATAAATATATAAATTTTTTAATGCATGTATAGTCTTGGAGACATTCATCATTTTCTAAACCTAAGATGTTGCCATTTACCAAAATGCACAGGGTGCTGCAAAAGGTCTTGTTGATGTTGTAACAAAATCTTCTAGGTACCTATTTAGAGATCATGCGTATTTGTAGGGGCCAATGACTCCATTGCATTCCACCACCATATGTGCCTTTTTTTCATTTGTACAGTATGGATTGCATGGTTCACTATTGGGACAGTCTCACATCAGTTCAGTGCAGCATTTTGTTGAAAGTCAACTTTCATTTTTCTAGGGTTAGGGTAATTAAGCTGTGTTAATGTGTCTTTTCTTCACCATGAGGTTCCAAGTTCCACAAGTTTTTCAATCCCAAAACATTTTAGGGGTGTGAGTTTAGGTTATAAGTCTTTCTATTTTCATACAATTTTATGTGAGTTGCTTCAATTGTTTGTGCAGGCCAAATTCAAGTTCAGGGCCATTGCAACCATGGTGCTTTTCTTCTCCCTCACCACCCCAATTGGAATTGGTGTTGGAATGGGAATATCAAACATTTACAATGAGAGCAGCCCAACTGCTTTGATTGTGGAAGGGGTTTTCAACTCTGCTTCAGCTGGGATTCTAATATACATGGCTCTGGTTGACCTTCTAGCAGCAGATTTCATGAACCCTAGAATGCAAGGCAATTTAAGGATCCAGCTTGGGGCTAATATTTCACTTCTTTTGGGTTCTGGCTGTATGTCACTCTTGGCCAAATGGGCCTAAATGCTTCAATGCAATGAGGGCTAGATGTATGGTACATAGGTTTAGTGAGCATAATCCCTCTTAGGCATGCTCTTTTGTATGTTTTTGTTTTGTTTTTGTTTTGTTTTTAGGCTTCTGTGTTTACTTTCATCTTGAAATGTCTAGTGGAAATTTGGTAAATGTGTCAGTGCAACAATCTAATTCTTCCACCCACAGAAAAGTGTAAAAAATATGGAATGAATATAACGATCATATCTTAAACAAATAACATGAGACATATGTCATAATTCAGTTTTGAAATGTTGAGAGTTAAAATATATTGGGGGGACATGTTCCAAGATACCAATGACCACACTCGCCATTACAAGTAGGAACACATTATCCTCGTTTCACATAAATTTTTCTCCTATATTGGCATTGTTTTTTTTATCAACGGGAAAATGGAGATTCGAACTTGAGACATCTTCTATCATTAAGTAGATATGTATCAGTAAAATAAGAGCTAATTGCAAAAAATAAAAAAAGCGAGTTTATCTGTTTGAAAACATGTTACTATGATAATAAGAGAAAGTTAAATCTCACAAAGTTATACGTTCAACACTAACATCGTACCAATTAGTTTGGTGGGGAAATTGGGTAGATGCACCATCTTTGAGTCAATCCCATTTGTAGATGTGATTCAATTTTCACATCAAGTCTAGTCTAAAAGAAAGTGGCGTTATGTGCTCACTTTACTTGTGGCCGCTTCATAGTGAAGCCATTATCAAATCATGTTGTCATGTTGATTTTATTTGAACACTATGAATGGTTATGAATGTGCCAAAGAATTGCGCAATTTTCATATTCGTAATAATTATTTCTATTTCAATTGTTATTATTCTTTCTACAATTATAATACAATTCTATATTTACAGACATATAACTAAAAACAGTGATGTAACATACATGGGGGTTGAACTCAAAATATTCCTTAAAAGAGAAAAAGCAAAAGTTGACTCAAAAATGAAAAAAAAAAAAAAAAAAAAAAAAAAAAAAAAAAAAATCATGTTAAAAAAAAATGTAAAAACCAAATTGTATAATAGGAATGCTGTTGGGCCTGTTGGGCTTTAGATCTGATCATGGAGGGCCCACTGCCAAAATTATTTCTCTTGGGTTTGGCATCCCAGAAGTAAAACAACAGCAAGTCTCTTGCGTTGAAGCTTTGCTTATGAATTTCCAGCACCAATAGAACAAGCTTTGCTTCTGAGTTGTCTTCGGAGTCGGAACTATTTTATATCCCCACAGAGAATATGCAATTTCTGTAGCAGAAGGGATTGGATTGTTGAACAGGACAGGCAAGCTAACAGTGATTAGTCAAGTCCTTTCTTGGCGGCTCAATCTACCGATCCAATACTCTCAGTTGGGTATGCTCTTACTCGGTCCTTTCTTTTCTGGCCTAAGTATGCGCTCAAGGTGTTTGATTAAATGTCTATGTGAGATTGGGTGATTGAAATTTAGTGTCTTTATTCACAGGTGACTTTGAAATTTAGTGTCTTTGTTCAAAGATGATTGTTTGTTGATTGGTTGCATCTGAAAAGTTTTGGTCTTTATTTGAATATGAGATTGCTTTCAAGTGGTACACCATATCTCAGTAAAAACCAAGTAGTTCATACTTCACTTAAGCATTGCATAGAAGTATCCCAAGGAGAATTTAGTGTCTTTGTTCACAGGAAAGCCCACTTTGTTCCCTTATGTATGCAGTTGTTATGACTTAGCTTGGAATTTTCTTTCTGTGTATGGGAATTTGATATAATTATTTGTTCCAATGAATTTATGATGTATTTCCTTTGTTTGTATGGGTATTTGATATAATTATTTGTTCCGATGAACTTATGATCACTAAGCATAATAGTTGTGACTTTATCACGGGTTTCAGTCATTTATACTGACTTTGAGGAAATTCATGTGCATAGGCTAAGTGTTAGCAATGATGCCAATGAACTATGGTTATAGCCCATTAGTTATATCTCTGGCCCAGTGCATGTTTACAAGACTTATCGGTAGTCTTTTACAGCAAAATGTGTTAACCTACTCATCACTTGCTTGTGTAAACAATTCTAGAAAGTCCATTGTATCATCGATTCTGATATCTTCCTCTCATGTTTGTTTGTGGCCCTAATACTCGTGATTTATTTTTCTATTGGTATCGATTATTTTCTTCTTCATTCTGTAGATTGGAGATAGCAATGGCAGGAGTAATACAAAAGTTTGTTGCTGCATCATTGTTTATGTGGATAACTCCCGTGGCAATATTATATGCATTTAACAATAATTTGCTTCCTGGTAAGGCTGTTGTGCAAATTCTGTAGCTTTTTGTCATCTTCAGTCCTCATGTCTAATTGGTTGATATAAAACTAGTACTGCATCTTATTGGAGGTCCCTCGGCCTACTAATATAGGCTCGCACTAGTTATGCTGGGTTTTCCTTCTTAATGCTATATTACAATGAATTTATCTACTTTCAATCCTCTTTTTGATAATTTTGTCTGCGTTACTTGTTTTATTTCTAAATAAGCAGACCATTTCTCGTTTCACATTTTGAATTTATGTCATTCTGCATTTCGTTCCTATCCTAGAGCACCTTAGAGTTTGTCCATGTCACTCTTAATGTCGTGATAATGGGAATTTTCATCTCAATCAAGCCTTTTAAATATCTTCCAACTAATGACCTCTAAGTTCCCATGAGGAGAGTTTTGATGATTAGAAACTTTTTTTTTTTTATATAAATATTTTATAATTACATAATAATATCCTTACAGTGAACGTGCTTTACAAGAATAAAGATGGCATCCTATCACCAAGTATAACTAGGGCATGTAACAGAATAAATAAATAAATAAAAGTATAACTAGTGCCAAGATGATGTGGTGCCATACTGCTGTAGGATAGCATTGAGGTTGTGGGCTTTACTTTTGGAAACAAATTTGATTTTGGGATTTGAATGGTGGAAGAATCAGGATTACTATAAGACTAACTTTAGTCGCTTGATGATTTTACTAAATTGGAATTTTGTCTCCACCTAACTAAGAAAACAGCTGCAGCATGTACTAGTAGCATGCTATACAAGGATTTGGAGTTTAGACCTGTGTACAAAGTATGAGCTTGTGGGGTGATCAGAGGAAAATAAGGGCTAGTGGTGAAAACAGGAGTCCTAGTAATCAAATAAAAGGAGAAGAAGATAAATATAGGCACTCTCCCTATTTCCCCATGTGAATTACATGCAAGGCTATAATTCATCATAGATTCTCTAAGAACGCTTCAAAACTACTGAAGATGTTCTCTGAAACCTATTCTCCACTAAACAGAAAGAGTTATATCTAAGCTTCTCGAACTAGTAATCTTAATGGGACTTTGACCCCAAGATCAGAGACTCGTAAAGCCAAGCTAAAAAGAGGTTAGAAGCATAAGTACAGCCCAGTAACATGAAAAGATCCACAGCAAGATCCATGGGAACAATTATAAACCATTTATGTCATCTTTCAATTTTCAGAATACCCTACCACTTAAAATTGAGACCGCTTGGGATATGAAAATTTTGAAACCAATCAATGGCATCGTCTTAGTAGTACTCAACTTGGGCTTTCACTATTTAAATTTTTGTTTCTTATCAAAAGAATATTACTCAACTTGCCAATTCATGTGTCAACTATCTTAAGATTATTACTTCTTTTTTTGGCTACTGTTGGATTTCCAGTTGTAGGTAAAATGTTATCTAGAGCCTAGAGGCCATCGGTATTCCTGTGGGTGTATGGGTAATCTTGTGCAAAGCACTATGGTTGTAGGAAATTTCTGAAGAAAACATAGGCGCTTGAGTTTGTGTCACCAAATTGCACAGCCAACATGCCCTTATCACAATCATGCAAGTGAATGTCTGATTAAATCGAAAAACTTTGATCTTGTAACTTGCCTTACTATGTGATAATTTTTTGCTAGGATTTAGGAAGGGAGCTTTATAGAGTTACTCTCCTAGGTTTTCCTCTTGGATTATCTGAGCGTGTTCTTCATGTGAAACAGGTGCAAGCGACATGTCTCCATATTCACTCACATTGTTGAGTGGATTCCTTGCTGTTATATCTGTCAACATGGTTATTGCATTTTATATATATATGGCAATGAAGGAACCTTCTGACAAACATAAGCCTGATCCTGCATTTCTTGCTGAGGCCAAAGCTAGCGTAAGCCAGCCTACAGGTGAAGCTGATAGCTCTTCCCAATCCTCCAAGAAAGAAGAGTAGGATATCCCATTTGTCATTTCCACGGTCGGAAGCACTGAAAATTTGACAGCATCATGCAGTCTGCAGACCAGAAATAGTGATTAAGAATCCACTTGATTAATGTATGTTGGTTTTCATTTTCCGTCAGCTGCTATTAATGATGTGATTTTGCTATCACAAGCTCCTTTCTGGAACTTGCCATGGTTGATGCATTCTTCGCCCCTTATTTTTCAGATAAATTTTAGTGTTGGAGGAAAATCATGGTTGCACTTGCTTTTTGACTCAAAGCGATTGAACTCTCATATATTTGGGCTGCAGGTATACAACTAATTGAGATTGCTTTTATGTGTAACCTAACTTTAGGCCTACCATACATCTCACGTTAAATCTCCTTGAAAGCAAGACAGTGGATCATTTTGAAATATGTCCAATGCGAAAATGGCAGAAATGCATGCTATAGGCCTCTTTCTATCTCTCTTCAAGTGATAGGTGATGAGTGATAGGAGCGTTTTGGTGTACGACATCTCCATGTGACGTTAACCATATATGTTATAACACATGTATATTTATTGATATTTAAACCTAATGTATAAACTTGTCGTTTTATCATGTTACAACATATAGATTAATAATATATAGATTACTAATAGACAAATTTATAAATAAACCCAATCCTAGACATGTATTTATAAAAAAACTCAAGCTCTATTTAAACATAGAAACACATCCAAAATTAACCCCAAAGTCAACTTTTTGAGTGTGTTTATAAATGGGTTTTAAGTGTGTGTAATGATGGATTTTGGGTGTGTTTATATGTTTAAATAATGCTTGAGTTTTTTTATAATTTCAACCCCCATTTTGGGTGTTTTAGTGAAACTCCCTTAATAATATTGTGTGGCAGTTTTATACGTTACGAGAGGAGAGAGAATTCATTGAATACTAAGGGGTTTACAATGACTATTTGTGTAAACCCCTCTCTCCACTAAAAAATAAAAAATAAAAAAACTAATCTTGGTCAATTTTAGGTTGGGCCTCAGCTCAGGTCAACCCAACTATCAACTAGATTAATTTGCAATCTGCTACATCAATTAGGACTAGGAAAAGCCCTAGCCCCAATTTTCAACCCATTTTTCTTATATAATATTATAAAAATAGGCTACAAATACGAAGACATGAAACAAAATAACCCACAGATCATAGAACGGAAACCTCCAAAAACCCAAATACCGAATCCAAGGCTCAGAGAGAGAGAGAGGGAGAGGGAGAGAGAGGGAGACAACAAGAAACACAACAAGAAGACCCGTACGAGGAGGACAAGGAGGAAGAAGGACAAATGGGTAGGAAGAAGAAGAGGGTTTCGTCGAAGGTTTGGTGCTACTACTGTGATAGGGAATTTGACGATGAGAAGATACTGGTGCAGCACCAGAAAGCTAAGCACTTTAAGTGCCATGTCTGCCACAAGAAGCTATCTACCGCTGGTGGCATGGCCATTCATGTCCTCCAGGTCCATAAAGAGAGCGTCACCAAGTATTGCCTTCTGTACTTTCCCCAATTATCTGAACCCTAATTTTTACGTTCTTTCATAGCTGACTTTACTATATGATAATACGATATTGATCAGTTTTATGTTTGCTATATAGAACTATGATCTTCATTGTTTTTATTTTTGCTATGTAAAAATATGATCATCATCCTTAAAAAATTGTAGTTTGGTCAGTCAATGCATCTTTCTAATGGGCTTTAGATAAAACAACAACTTTTTTTAATTAAAAAAACGATTTGTGAAGAATTCTTTTGCTGGAAAAATAATTTGAGATTAAAGTTTTTATGTTAGCTGCATGGGCAAAAGTTTAATGGTCAATGGCATTGAAAGGCTGTCTTGATTTTCGAGCAAATTCAAGCTGTAGGTATTTGATGGAAGTTTAGTAGAATTTGGATTCCAGGAAACGATGTGGCTGTCACTATAAATTGGTTTTTATGTTGTTGGGATATACTGAAATGTCAATGCGTTCACATATGAGGCAAGCTTCTTAATAATGAGAGGGCCCCTGAACCTCAGGAAGATAATGTATTGTATTAACCTTTTACTCATATAACTGTAAGAAGAACTTTATGCACATACCTATGTGCTGATGATAAACTCAAACTTTGTCCACTGTATTCAAAAAGTAAATGTTAATTCATTTCTTTTTGAACTCTAACCATTTGTCATTGATACAAAAGAACAACCCATATTCAAAAATCCGGTTTCAAGTTTTCTAACTCAGACATAAGAACATTATCGTAGATGCTTATAGTTGCTCATTGTTTGTGATTAAACTATTTCACTTGATCATTTAAATGAGCTATTATAAATGGCCATTGCAATTTGTTCAATATATTTGAACTGTGCCTCAATATAATTCCTTACCCTGATTTTCTTTTTTCACTTTACTGATACTCAAACTGGAAAAACAGAGTTCCCAATGCAAAGACTGGAAGAGAGTCAACGGATATTGAAATATATGGGATGCAAGGAATCCCACCTGACGTCTTGGCTGCACATTATGGAGAGGAAGGTAAAGGATCCTTACAAATATGATGTTTATCCAGAGAATTTTCTTATTTTATGTTTAGGTTATGTTATCCCAGTTGATATTTGGTGATGTTTAAATTTTTATTTTATTTAAATGATTAAATTCAATTGTTTTATGCCTTCTTTGGGTTTGATTCACATTAAAGTTTCACCTGGATGTGCTGGATTTGAATCAAATTTTCTTGAATAGTATAATGTATTACATAAGATGCTCTATTGGAGTGTTCATAGCAACATCCATGTAATAGTTATTTGGGTATAAAAGCTTTGATGATTGTATTTGGTCCAGTTGGAAATTTTTAACATGTTGAAATTCTCCTGTTTTAATGGTTGAACCAATTTACTTGCAAGAGAATGCATCCACATATAAACTCATGCAAGTACACACTCATTCGGATGTCCTAATCTGTGCATAAGAATTCTGTATGAAATGTTTTGTCATGGTTTGTCTTAAAGACTAATCGAACCAACAAAAAGTGTACAATACCTATCATTTTGTGTTGTTAATTTCATGTCCTCTTGAAATTATAGCATCAATCATATAAGTTAAGTTTATTTTCTAAATATCTTAATTTATTTGCAGATGAGGACGCTCCATCAAAAGTAGCTAAAGTGGACGTCCCATCAACCCAGTTTGTTGGTGGTATGGTGCCCGGTTCGATGGGGATTGGATATCCTCCCCAACCAGCTTTGGGTGCAATCCGGCCAATGTATGTTTTCTGTGAGGTTTCTTGCATATCCTCCGCCACCAGCTTTGTGAAATTTGAAAACTATATTTTCTGTGTGACATAATGATTACAATCTACGTAACCAACTTATCTGTATGTTTCTTTGGTTTTTGTTTGCACCAGTTACAATCCTGCAGTTCCAATGCCTCCAAATGCTTGGCAACCTCGTCCCCAGCCATGGTTTCCACAACTTCCAGCAGTCTCAATTCCTCCTCCTTCCTCATTGGGTTATGTGTCGCAGCCATTGTTTCCTGTGCAGAATGTGAGGCCACCCCCTCCATCATCAACCCCTTCACATCTGCCATCACATATAACTCCGCCTGGACTTCCCACATCCATGCCTCCTGTTCCTGTATCACAACCCCTGTTTCCTGTTGTTGGTATAAATAATGTACCAACTCAAAGTTCTCCCTTTTCAGCTCCTATGCCTTCAACTAGTATTCTCTCAAATTCTCCAGCTGAACTTAAAGGCTCAACAGATGCACATCAAGGTGCGAAAACTTCCATAACAAGTAGTTATCTAAGCATTTCAGGTTTGATGTCCTATTTTTTATTTGCTTAAATGGTCTTTCGGATACGTTTTTTGTGTGTAAATTTTTGTTTTTTACAAGCAATTCAAACATTTGGTATTTCAAAATTTTCAAAATTGAAACTTGTAGCTCATAATATGGGTGTTTTAAGTAGGCATGATGCTGTAATTTATCTGGTATCCCCTCCTTTTTGTATATGTTGGTGGTAACTGTACTTTGATTTAAAAATTTCTTTTTGGAATGATTTAATATGTGTAACATTCTATTGTATATAACTGTCTATTTTGTCAAATTTTTTTTTTTGTGGTAATTTTTGCCCTTCCCTTGTCTATGCTTTAGCTAATGTCAAGTCTCTTAATTTTTTTTTTCTTTTCATAACAGTATGGAGTCAAAGCTGTATTCTAATCATAGATTTTAACAAAAATGGTATTTTCTTGCTTTCAGATCGATGCTTTCCTTATGTATGATAAAATAAGTAATAGATGCTTTGGGAATTTTCTCTTGTTATTTATGGTTCAAGTCACCTTTTGAGATTATACTACAGAGTACTGTTTTGGGAATTGATCAACTTCAAATTTGGATTTGCTATCAACAGCGTAGTTTGTACGTTGCAGGCTTATGTGTATTTTATATATTACAAAGGCAGTCTGTTATCTTCCTGGTTATGCACCCAATTGATCCTGATAATTGTTTTTATTTCTTGACCAACTAAGCTACTAGTTGTTTTGGTATGATAAGCCTTATGTGTTTGCCCTTTACAATAATGAAGCCTGCCCACATTGCAAAAAATATAGCTCTTCTGTCCTAGTTGATGCCTTTGGATTGTTGATCTCATGTGTGCAAGGCTTGTGAACCTGATATCTCCCTTGCATTTAATTGCTACAGGTGGGACCTTAATTAATTCACACTCTTATGCATCTGGTCCAAATACTGGTGGTCCATCAATTGGACCACCCCCTGTAATTGCAAACAAAGCTCCCGCTCCTCAGCCAGCAGCTAATGAGGTGTATCTGGTTTGGGATGATGAGGCTATGTCCATGGTAAGTCATTTCTAGTTTACAAAATGCTAATTAGGTTTCTTTTTGGCAAGTGTTGTGGCTAACTGGTTCAGTTGACTTACTTGCAGGAGGAAAGAAGAATGTCCTTAGTGAAGTATCAGGTGCATGATGAAACTAGCCAGGTAAGTCATACTACCTCTTTATTTTACGGAGTTGGATTGCTCTAAAACCAGATAGGTAGGCTTTATGTTTTTTTTTTTTTTTTTTTGGGAGAAGGAGGTAGGCTTTATGTTGTCTTTTCAGATTGACTTGTTTACCAATTTTTCCTGTTTAGAGAGGCATATACTGTATGAATTTGAACCTTTTTCTTTTGAAAAGAAAATTTTAGCAAAGAACATGTGAACCTTTTAGTCCTCCATCTTTCTGCTTTCCAACCCTTGGTTGATGGGCATGCTGTTTTGTTTAAACTGCCATATCTCGGGTTTCCACGCAACTGCATCAAAAGGTTCAAGTAGGTATTT